CTGTCTCCCTCCCGTCCCACCCCAGAACTGCTTGCTATAGCTGGACTCTTCTCTAAACTAAACGTTCACCTTGACCTTATTTATGACTTTATGTGCAAATGTTTTTGACAATAATGATCATATATTTTGACAAAATATATTTATAACTACATATTAAAAGAAAAAAATAAAATGAGTCATTATTTTAAAGGTAAATGCATTTTGTGTCTCGCCTCTCAGGGTGCTGCTGAGGCTGTGTTGGCTGGGAGCGCAGCAGGGAATATATCTTCTCTCCTTCTCATCTTCTTCCCCCTCCTCCTCCTGCTTCCCCCCCCTCCCATCCCTTTTCCCCTTAAAAGTTTCGCAAATTTTAGTCTTTCTATTTCTTGCCGAGGTACTGCGGATCCCCCTGTTCTGGGGCTGCGCCACGTGGGAGATGAGGGTCCCTGGAGATTAAGAGCTGCTTCTCCTGGAGTAGAGCCGACCTTGCTAACCTGGCCCAAGCCTTTGCAAAGCCACCCACCAAAAATGCATTTGAAAAGAAGGTGAAGATTTACCTGAGGGCTTTATGCTAAACCCACCGGGTTTTATACCCTTCGTCCATCTTCAGGATTCCCCAGGTTTTAAAACTATTAACGTTTTCCTCCCCCCTCTTCCTCCCCTCCCCACTGGAGATTGACTTATTTGGAAAGCTTCAAAGGTTTGCACGGGTCCTTTGAAGATCAAATCACTCCATTACAATGCCAAAAAAAAAAAAAAAGATATGAGGAGCAGTTAAATATGTGTTAGCTAATAGCTACCTGTGCTGCGTCCTTTCCAAATTGCTTCCGAGCAGGAAGGTGATCAGAGCGGAGCAGGTACAGTTGGAGGTATGAAGGGCTTGAAACCCTTGGCTTGAATGCATTGGACGGACTGTGTTTGGCTTGGAAAATAGGGAGCTGTGCCGTGGGGTGCGTGCACGGGGCTCGTGTCCTCAGCGATCGCGGGAGCGGGAAGGGAGGGCTGAGCAGGGCGAGGATGCATGATTTTTTTTTTTTGTGTTTGTTTTCTGTTTGGTTTTAGTTTTTTTCCTCTAATGATTGAAGCTTTCCAACCCTCCGAAAGGGGCAGCTTAGTTGAAACCAATAAAAACCAAAGTGGAAAGCTTGCCAAAAGCCTTGGCTCCCTGAAGAGCGCAGGTGGAGAGAGGAGATGGGAGCTGTGGGGGGAGGCGAGTGTGGCCCTGTATTTCTCTCAGAAACTAAAAAAAATCCCCAACTTTGAACCTCCTCTTTTCCAGTGAGGCTTTTCCACCCCTCCATCCCACCGGGTGCCGGTGCAGGGGAGCCACCCGCAGCTTTCCCTCTGCCGCCGGAGAGCCTGCGGATGACTGTGCCTCCCTGGCGGGGTGCTGTGGGGGCACCCCGGCACCCTGCGAGGCAGCGATGGGTGTTCGCTACGGGGACGGAGCGTCCTCAGCATGGCAGGATGCTCGCAGGGATGCGCAGCACCCACGGTGCCGCGGCGGCCGGCGGGGATCTATCTCCCCGCTGCCGGGGAACCCCGGGCGCATGTGTGGGGGGCCGTGGTTAAGGGAAATGTGTGGCCCGGGGCATCGGCGACCTGCTGCCTCCCCTTTGATGCCTGCATATCAGACATAGCCATGCCAGAGAAAGAATTTCATTTTGAAGTGGCATCAGCTAAAGGCGAGCGCCTTTCAGCTGCCTGACAGGGCAATTACACACATCTGCCCCACCACCGATAACCCTGGCTGCTGTGGGGCCACTGGGAAAAGGGGGTCTCCGGGCCCCACGGCGGCCTTGGCTCTCGGGATTGTGGGGCAGGCACTGCGGGAGGGTGCTTGAAAAACAGCAACAACAAAAAAATCACTGTGCTTTTTTTCAAAGAAGGAGAAAAAGAAGTTAAAGAGGCTTCTCCCAAGTTTGCTTCCCTGCTCGTTGGTGTATCCTGGATTGTCCTGGAAGCCAAAGGCCATTGAGGGTGTTACAAAGCTGAGCAGCGCGAGCCCCTCTTG